TCTCCAGACACCAGGGAGGGTGGAGGTCAGGGCAGGAGGGATAACATGAACAGAGGTGTGGTAGGTGGGAGACCCGTGTATTGGACTCTTAACAGCCAGCTTGGGGCCTGGCACCTGAAGCTAGATGGGTCACTTACAACCCCTCCTCAGCCATCCAGCTGTCATGGCTCCCCCATGAGCAGCACCTCTCCACAGATCAGCTACCCTGCCTTTTCTCCATCCAGGATTCTGCTGTTCTTTCCACAACCAAACTGACCCCTGCCCCATCGCTGACCCGGGTGCCTCACCTGTCATAGCTTTCTCTGACCTGTTTGCCAGGCTCTCTCCATCTGCAGTCTGTCCCACCTACTGCCATGGATTTATCTCCTTAAAACGTCACTTTACACATTAGAGAGCCTTCCAAAGTCTCAGGTCACTTCTCGCCATCCGAACATGCACATGCTGTCTAGGGTCCACCCCCTCCCACAGCTAGAGGCACTACAGCCACTAGCTTGGCTCCCCCTGTCCTGATTATAGATGCTTGTATTCCAACCAGAAACATGCGCTGAGTACCTGTGCGTGCCAGACTGTGCAGGGCTGCCCCCCGCCCCCCCGCGCACAGACATTGTGTCCTCGTCCGTGAGGAACATACACTTCAGCAGAGAGGTCAGGCATTGACCGGTCCGTGTGAGTAAGTGGGGTGTCAGCCAGCAGCCTCAGGAGGTGTTGGGAACATGCTGGCACGAGGGAGGGATGGCCCAGCTGAGTGAGGGGCCAGGGAGGCCTTTTGCCCCCAAACCAATACCTGAAGGGCAAGTAAGAGTTAGTTGAGCAAGGATGAAAGTCCCGTGTAACAGCCATGTGGGCTGATGGAGTGTGGGGAGAAGAGGGTGGTTTGGGGTCTGGATAGCTCAGGCCCTGGGCACGTCCATCCTCACAGCTCTGCCCAGAGCTCCTCTCTCCCTGGGAATGCCTCCTCCTTGTCCTCCCTCCACCCTTGCCCGAATGCTCACTGCACCTGGGCTTGGCTCCCTCAACTGTCACCTCTGTGCCTTGTTCCTGAGCACCCAGCTTGCATCCAGTCTCCTGGGAGCAGTCATCCCAGGGCCTATACTTCATTCACTTTCTTCACTCACCCCTGCCCAGTCTCCCCAGCTAGGGGAGGAGGCTGCACTTGGCCTCTAACTGGATGCTCTGAGCCTGCACAGTGCCCTGCCTGGCAAGTGCATGTTCTGGCTGCTGCTGCTGCATCCCACCTGAGCTAGCCTCCCTGATGGTCCCTTGTGCACCTGTGTGGACATGTCTCTCCCCCTGCAGGTGGCTGTGGCGTGGGAAACCTGACAGAACCAGTGGCTGTTTCACTGCGGCACTGGGCTGAGGGGGCTGAACCCATGGCCGCTTGGTGGAGCCAGGAGGGGCCTGGGGGAACTGGGGGCTGGAGCTCCGAGGGCTGCCAGCTCCGCTCCAGCCAGCCCAACGTCAGCTCCCTGCACTGCCAGCACCTGGGCAATGTGGCTGTGCTCATGGTGGGTGTGGGAGCCCTGGGGTGGGAGGGCAGGGTGAGGGGTGTGTAGAAGGTGGGGTGGGGCACTGTGATCCCCTGTGGCCTCGAGAAATACAGAAAGCACCTCAGCTTGTGGCAGGACTTGTGGGGAGATGGCCCTCCGCTCTCTCCCACACCTCTCCACCTTTCAGAGACAGGGAGGACCTGCTTCCACTCCTACATCCAGACGGTTCTGGAACTGTCTAGCCTGGTCTTTACATGCTGCACTTTCTGAGACCAGATTCTTAAAATGGAGAAAAAGGAAGCTAGGACCACCTCCCCTGTTCCTGCCATCCTCTTCACTGGCCACCATCCAGCACCATGTCCCTCACTGCATCTTGTACCCTGTGCTCCCAGATGCAGAGGAGGCACGCAGCCGACTTTGAGCAGAACCTCTCCCTCCTTCCTCATCTCTGATTTTTCAGGCTGGGGAAGTGAAAGGTCCCCAGCAAGGCAGGATAGTGGGAGGGAAAGGCAGGCACTGCTCCCTGAGGCTGACTTTCTAAGTGTGGGTGTCCCAGTGCTCTCGTCCCTGACAGCCAGGAAGCATCAAGCACCAACTGGGGGCCTTGGGGCCTGGTGAGGTCTCCACGCTGTTTACTTTCCCCCTGCCCCTCCCAGGAGCTGAGCGCCTTTCCCAGGGAGGAGGGCGGCTCAGGGGCAGGGCTGCACCCTGCTGTGTACCCCTGCACAGCCCTGCTGCTGCTCTGTCTCTTCTCAACCATCATCACCTATATCCTCAACCACAGGTGGGTGCCCTGCAGGGAGGAGGGCATGGAGAGCAGCTGGGGCATCTCATTACAGGGTGGCAACTGTTTCTTCCTTGGGTGGGTCCATGCAACTGCCTCAGGCTCTTGCCTGAGGTTTGGGATAGGAAAACACATGTGGGGGGGGCAGGGGAGGATAAGGCCTTATTGCCCTGGGGCTCCTCTGACGTTCACATACGTGCACACAGAGAGCTGCCTTCCCTTCCATGGCTCTCCTAATGGCCTTGAGACCCCATGAGCCTGACCTTGGGCTGGGTGCCCCATTAATGAAAGACCATTTCTGGGGCAGCTCTATCCATGTGTCCCGGAAGGGCTGGCACATGCTGCTGAACCTGTGTTTCCACATGGCCATGACCTCTGCCGTCTTTGCGGGGGGCATCACACTGACCAACTACCAGATGGTCTGCCAGGCGGTAAGCAGGAGCAGGGGCGGAGCAGGGAGGGACACTGGACCAAGAGGCCCATGCTACCAGGGCCCAGCTTCACTGCTCCCCTACACCAGCTTTGGAGTGCAATGTGGGGTGTGCCATGGAGAGTGAGAGTGGGGTGGTCAGAACCAGATCAGAGAAGATGAGAGATGGGCTTCAAGGTGGAGAGGGGTCAGCCAGGTAGCAATGACAGGGCCCTGGGGAATCCCCACAACTGTGCAAGCTTGGCAAGTGTCTGGGTAGAGTGAAGGAGCGTGGGATTGGGGGCTGGGCCAGTTGGGGAGAGTGGGACAACGGCAGGGGTGAGGCTCTAGGAGGGCCCAGCAGTGCAGCCTAGGCCCTCCAGCCTCAGTGCCTTGCCCTGCAGGTGGGCATCACCCTGCACTACTCTTCATTGTCCACACTGCTCTGGATGGGCGTGAAGGCCCGAGTCCTCCACAAGGAGCTCACGTGGAGGGCGCCGCCTCCACGGGAAGGGGACCCTGCCCCACCTACTCCACGTCCCATGCTCCGGTACATACGATCAACTGTCAGCTTTACTGTGGGGGACTGAGATGGGCATAGGAAACCTCCCAGGGTGGGTGCAGGGTGGATTCAAGGTCCCTGGAAGATTGCTCTCCAAAGACAGAAGAGCCAAGGCCTTAGGTACAGCCGACTTACACAAGACCACCTAGTGAGTGCAGTTTTCCAGGCATGTCAAGGCCGGGGAAAGAGGTGACTCTTTGAGGGCATTGATTGGGGAATCCCAGGAACCTGAGTGGCACACCTGACTTATGTATTGTTTAAAATGAGAGAACAATTCTGGCCCCATCCCTTGAAAAAGTATTGGCCAAGTCGCTGGTAGACGTGCAAGCCTGCCCTGTAGGGGCGCTGCATCCCTAGCTAAGTACTGTGACAGAACTTAGAGAAAACAGGATGGGGCAGACACAGCACGTCAAGGGCTCTGAGCACCTGGCGAACCTTCCTTTCCCCATCTCTCTGACTCCAAACTCCATTCTCTTCCAGGTTCTATTTGATTGCTGGAGGGATCCCACTCATTATCTGTGGCATCACGGCTGCTGTCAATATCCACAACTACAGGGACCACAGCCCCTAGTAAGCGCTGCTGCCTCCTGCCCCATCCCTTCCCATCTGGCACCAGACTCATTCTACCCCACTGGCAGGAACACCTGCCAGGGTTCACCAGCCATGACCCACCCAAATCCCTGTATGTGGACCAAGCTGGTCTCTGCCTGTCTTCCCAGCCACCCCGCCTATGGGTCTCACCTCAAACATGCCCCTCCCCTTGTCTCTCCGCAGCTGCTGGCTGGTGTGGCGTCCAAGCCTAGGAGCCTTCTACATCCCGGTGGCTTTGATTCTGCTAGTCACCTGGATCTATTTCTTGTGCGCAGGGCTGCGCTTACGGGGTCCCCTGGCACAGAGTGCAAAGGGGAGCAACAGCAGGGCCTCCCTGGAGCCAGGGGAGGAGCTGAGGGGTCCCACCAGGCTCCGGAGCAGCGGCCCCCTTCTGAGTGACTCAGGTTCCCTTCTGGCAACTGGAAGTGCAGGCATAGTGATGCCCGGGCCCCCGGATGATGGTGACGGCCTCTATTCTCCGGGCGTCCAACTGGGGGCGCTAGTGACCACGCATTTCCTGTACTTGGCCATGTGGGTCTGCGGGGCTCTGGCCGTGTCCCAGCGCTGGCTGCCCCGGGTGGTGTGCAGCTGTCTGTACGGCGTGGCGGCCTCCGCCCTGGGCCTCTTCGTCTTCACCCACCACTGTGCCAGGCGTAGGGACGTGAGGGCCTCTTGGCGCGCTTGCTGCCCGCCTGCCTCGCCCTCGGCCTCCCACACCCCACCGCGGGCCCTGCCAGCCGTCTCAGAGGATGGCTCCCCCGAGTTCGGGGAAGGGCCCCCCTCCCTCAAGTCTTCCCCGAGCGGCAGCAGCGGCCCCGCGCTGCCCCCTGGCCTCTGCAAGCTCACCAACTTGCAGCTGGCGCAGAGTCAGGCGTGCGAGGCCGGGGCGGCCCGCGGGGAAGGGGAGCCGGAAGCCGCGGGCCCCCGGGGGGGCCTGGCTCCCCGCCACCCCAACAACCTACACCAGGGGCGTCGGGCGCACAAGAGTCGGGCCAAGGGGCACCGCGCGGGGGAGGCCGTCAGCAAGAACCGGCTGAAGCCCCCGCGTGGGGGTGCGGCGGCCGGGGGGCCCGAGCTGCCGTCCAGCGAGAGCGGCAGCCTGCACTACAGCCCGAGCGACAGCTACGCGGGCAGCAGCTGCCACAGCCCGGGCGCTGGCCACCCGCTTGAGGGCGAGCCCATGCTCACGCCCTCTGAGGGCAGCGACACCAGCGCCGCGCCGCTCCCCGAGGCGGGCCGGCCGGGCCAGCGCCGCAGCGCCAGTCGCGACAATCTCAAGGGCGGCGGCAGCGGCGCGCTGGAGGAAAGCAAGCGCCGCTCGTACCCGCTCAACAGTGCGGGTCTCAACGGCGCCCCCAAGGGGGGCAAGTACGACGATGTCAACGTGGTGGGCGCGGAGGCGGCCGGCGGCGCCTGCATGAAGACTGGCCTCTGGAAGAGCGAGACCACCGTCTAGAGCGGGGCGGGCGATGCTGTAAGACAGGCGGGACACACGGGCTCGTTACCCTCAGTGACTCCGAGGCCCTCAAAGACGTCGCCTGGTACGTCTACAAGTGTGAGGTGGCGGTGCCCAAGGCTGCACCTAGGCTGGCCAGCATTATCCCCGACGCTGGGGAAAGGAGATAGGCAGGTACTTGCCACTTACCTAGAGGGCGTCCCTCTGGGCAACAAGACAATCCCAGAAGCAGGCGTGATACGTTTCCGTCCAGCCCAGGCCCGTTCTGACAGACCAGATTACTGGGGTCCCCCCAGGCAGGGGCTAAGTCCTATGTGGGGTAATCCTCAACTACAGTGAAAGGGCACAGCAGAGCCCAGGTGGGTCCTCCCCAAGTATTACCACTCCTGGCCACACTGCCTCAGTGGACATCAGCCCTGCCAGGAAATCACAGGGAGGAGCTTCAGAACTGTGCTGTTCCCTCTCTGTCCCCTGCTAAAGTCTGCCCAGATCCCAAGTCCTCTCTCCTCTTGGGTTTGGCTGACACTAGAGCCAGCCTAGCAGATGAGTCAAGTGACCAGGACGGATGGGTCCCCTTCTGTCATCCTCTCCAACAAACTATGCCAGAGGGGAGGGAGGGAACTGTAAAAGGCAACCTTTGAAATCCCCTGGGGGAAGAGAGAGGGAGCACAACTAGGGATAAAGCCACCATTCCCACAGGAGTGGTATTCCCACCACACAGCAGGGCTCAGAGGTGGCACCTCAGAACAGTCTAGGCCCTGTACCTAAGCAGCTGACTCTGCCAGGTGTCTGTCAGGTGATCTGAAGGAAGTAGGAGGAGCTGGTACTTGGAACTAGGGCAGAATCTAGTCATGCCTAAACCTAGTCCTATCAACGATGCTCTGAAGAGGGGGGCCACTGCAGTAGGCTGCAGGTGGTGTTTGGAGAAGCACTTACTGTTCAATGACAAGATCCATCTCCCCATCCCAGCCTCCCATCCCTCAGGGACTAAAGAAAGCACTCCCTTGCCTCTGTGAGGCCATATGGAAAAACCATCCCAATTATTCTGATCTCTAGCTCCACAGTAGGGAGAAACCTCTGCAAAGTCAAAGCAGCCTCCTGACTGAGACCTGAGGCAGTGGCTAGGGTCCCTGCAAATTGCCCGAGTCCAGTGCCTTCACTACTATTATACACCAGCACCTATAGTTTTCCCAACCTGAACAACCACGACCAGTCTTTTACTACAGAACTGAATGGAAGTGGAGGGAACCTTGGGTCTTGGGAAGAAGAACAGGAAACCCAAGTCTGGTCCAGTTCCCCTCCCAGTCTTCACATCACCCCAGCCTGCTCACCAAGGTGAAAGGAGACACGGGAGGGGAGAGAACTCACACTCCCAGAGATGAGTCCTGTTATTTATGCTTGCTGCACAGACAATATTAGAAGAAAAAAAAAGCTTTGTATTACTCTTCCACATATGCCAGCTGCTGTTTACATACCCTGCCGATGCCTTAGCACTGGAGAGCTTTTGCAATACGCTGGGGAAAGGGAAGGGAGGGAACGAAAAGTGCCAAAGAAAACATGTTTTTAAGAGCTTGGGTTTTATACAATAGAATGTTTTCTAGCAGATGCCTCTTGTTTTAATATATTAAAATTTTGCAAAGCCCTTGAACCTTAGTCCACCCCTGGTCCTTTTGTTACAAGGTAGAGGATCTCCTAATACCTCATGTACCAGCCACCACTGGAACTAGGGCAGAATCTAGTCATGCCTAAACCTAGTCCTATCAGCAATGCTCTGAAGAGTAGGAAGGCTGGAGGTGGTGTTTAGAGAAGTACTGCTCCACAAGTAGAGGGATGCCTTGCCAGGCCTAGAGAAGTATCAGTTGTCCTGTCCAATTCAAACCAGGAGCAAGAGAGCCTGACATTTTCCCAACAGTCTAAGAGGAAAGCCATTCCACAGAAAACGAACATCTAGAACTAGTTCTCAGGAACCAAGGGATGGGACTCTCCTACTCAGTCATCCCTGCATGCCTGACTACTCCAGGACCAAGGACTGAACTATTCACAAAGCCCTTCTTGGTTCCTTCAAAGAAAGGAGTTACCTAAGGACTCATGTACACCTACTCCCTCGGATGTGATAGACAGACCTGTTCTTAAGCTGCTGTCAGAGTGTGGTGAAGTGGCCCCAACAGGTGTGCCTCAGGGAGGGTTAGGAACACTGGTGGCAGCCTGTCCAGCAGCCTGGGCTCTCTGAAAGTCCCTAACTTCCTGAGGTGTACGCAAATACTGCTCTATTTCACTATCAGAAATGTTCTCATCTCCAGTGACAGTGGAGATGGCAGGTGTGGAGCAGATCCGTTTCGGGGGCTTCAACATGCAGGGTGGGAGGAGAAGGGCAGGACTGGCTGGTCGCTTCCCCTGGGACAAACCTAAGGAACTATTCTCCACCTCTTCTCCCTGCCCCTGCCGCTCCTTCTCCTGGGTCTCCATTTCTGCTGTGCCATCCCGAAAGGCTGTGCGGACCAGTGTGTGGCGGTGCTGGAGAAGGTCACCGATGTATTTCACCACAGACCGTTTGTCAAGTTTCAGAACTTGCAACCAGGCCAGCTGCTCAGCCATCCGCAGCAGCACACCCAATAGCTCCTGCAGGCGGGAGGAAGCAGGGTGGGGCAGGTCTATGTTTGCCAGTTTACAAAACTGGGCAAGGGAGCACCTCAGCCGATGCGAAGGCTGCAGTGACTGCCAAGCCAGGAAAGAGGCAGCAGTGATGACAGGTAAGGGATGCCGCCCAGTCACCAGCCACGTCTCGTCTGCCAGCTCCACCAACTGCAACGTCCGTGACAGCAACTTCTCTTTCTCTTCCACATACTTGGCTGGCACTGACGGGGAAGCTTGGAACAGCTTGAAGCTGAAACAACCAAAATGAGAGTTGGGTCTCAGTGACATGGGGGTGGGGGGCTGTTCTTCCAGAAGAAAGGCACTCTACTCAAGATAGGAAAGCTGTTCTGTCCTCTTGGGAACACTCTGGCTCTGGCAAGTTTATAGAGGCACTGAGAGGAAAGAGGGTGAGTCCTCTGCTTGTTAGAGGAAGGGCAGAAGAATGCAGAAGAGTGTTAGCACGTTGAGCACCTCTGTACCAGCCATTATTTGCATCTACATGCAAATGCACCCTGTTACATGCATTTAGAGTTGAGAAACTTGCCCACAGACATCCAGCTAGGAAGTAACCAAGCTTCAAATCTATGGCCATTTGATACCAATAGCTTTTGTTGGCTACTGTATTTGTCAAGAAAAAGGTAAGAGCATAACCACTTAAGAACAACAACAAAAAAAGGTTTTAACCCCAGTTCTGTCATTCACTAATATCCTTTCAGCTCCTTCACAGATGGTCTTGCTGAGGCAGGGCCAAGGCATACAGCCACATGGGCCACCTGCAGCACAACTCCAGGAAACGACATCCACACCTCATATAGCACCACTGGCACAGCTGCCTGTAGCCAGGCTAATATCTACTTTTCCTACTTCATTAGGTTGCTATGAGGGCAAAGGGATTTGAAAATTATAGCATTCAGAAATGTAAAATGATATTACCTTCATTAACACAAGCATAAAATAGGGTAGATCTTTCTCACACCTATTATTAGAAGAGGTTTGGTCAAAAAGAGCCAAAAGTTAAAGGATTCAACTCTAAGAAGCCCTCTCACCCCAGTGTCTCCCACCAGGCAGGTACCTGCTACAATAGGTCTTCACTAGTTCTGCCAAGCATAGAGATGGCACATCCAGCCCCAAGAGCTTCACTATCTGCATGTAGGTGCCAGAAAATACGTCCAAATCTGCATATAACAGGGTGCAGATGGTTCCCATGGTTAGGGGCCAGTTATGCTGTCGGCAGGTGATTAAGACACAGCACCCAACCAACACCTCCTTCTTTTGCAGCCTGGCAGCTCGCATGCCAGAGTGCCGGTATGCCTGTTGGTAGTAAGCAACTGCTGTGTCCTCAAATGTTGATGGCAACTGCAGAACTCGACAAATGTCTCTCACTCGGCGGAGACCTAGGAAAACCCACGGCAAGAGTTAGAGGAGACAGCTAGTAGACAGTCCTGCTAGGACTCAGTTTAGCTCTGCTAAACTTGCTTCAGATGCACAAACTATGTGCCTTTTTGCGCTGACATGCAAATGACATTTGGTGTTCTCATTCTAAAGACACAAAAACATGTCTACAAAGAAGTCACATTTCAGCCCATCACTTTTTTGGAAGTTACTTTGATTTAGGGCCTAGCCATACACCAGGTTCCTGGAGGCTACCTCAAACACACCCCTGAACAAACCCAAACCCTACATTGGACTGCTACACTTCTCAGAATTATCCACACTCTTTATTTCTTTTTTTTTTTTTTTTTTTTTTTTTAAGGGACAGAGTCTCACTTTGTCACCCTTGGTAGAGTACCGTGGAGTCACAGCTCACAGCAACCTCTGGACTTAGGCGAGTCTCTTGCCTCAGCCTCCCAAGTAGCTGGGACTACAGGTGCCCGCCACGATACCCGGCTATATTTTTGTTGCAGTTTGGCTGGGGTTGGGTTTGAACCCGCCACCCAGGGTATATGGGGCTGGCGCCTGACTCACTGAGCCACAGCGCCGCCCACACACTCTTTATTTCTAATTACCGTTCTCTTCTCTACCTTCTACAAGTGATGCTAAAAACAGGAAAAGCAAATAGAGGGGCTGTAAGATCAGGATAATTTTCTTTAAAGCCACTGTGTTGTAATAGGTCAATTCTTACCTCGTTGCTGGCTGCGACTAACTTGTTCATTTTCCCCTGTGCTTCGGGAATATGTTACTTCTGTAAGACAATGAACAACAAATAGTGTGCTTATTCATCAGATCCCTGGTCTCCTATCGCATAAGTCCAGGAAGCAAAATTCACATCACTGTGCATCTGCTCCCTGTCTCACAGATGGTGCCCATCTATGCATAGGTGAAGGCCCATCCGGTTTCTGTCCACACGCAGTATCAAATATACAGAGATTGAGAGAGGTTAAGACTGCACTAAAGCAGCTTCAAGTATTCCAAATTTTCAGTTGTCCCTCCTGTACATCCATCCCAGGTAATTTTCCTGGCTGCAGATTTTGAGGGCTGCACTGGTCAGGAACTTGAAAAGTAAACAACAAAAAAGAGATGTCAGGTGCAGTAGTCCACACCTGTAATCTTACACTTTGGGAGGCCAAGATGGGAGGACTGCTTGAGGCCAGGAGTTCAAGACCAGCCTGGGCAACATAGTGAGACCCCCTTCTCTACAAAAAAAATATTTTAAAAAATTACCTGGGCATGGTGGTGCACACTTGTAGTCCCAGTTACTTGGGAGGCTAAGGTAGGAGGATCACTTGATCATTTGGAGGCTGCAGTGAGCTATGATGATGCCACTGCTCACTCGGTCTCTCTCTCTTCTTTCTCTCTCTCTCTCCCTCCCTCTCTTTCTCCCATTTATCCGACATGTACTATGTCCACGATGTATGTCAGATACCGTACTAGGTGCTGAGAAAACACAGATGAATAGCAGTCCCTATCTTCTTCCACTCACTTCTTCACTTAGAACATTTTCTCCCATATTTAAGTATGCGTGTTAAGGGAGGAAAAACAGGAGGAATCTGATGTTAACCCCCCCACCGCCCAAGAATGTCCCCAGAGCCTGCGAAACGCCGGGCACAAGTACCTCGGAGGTTGCCCTCGTCGCTGAAAGTGGTGGTGAGAACCCCTTCGGTGACCACGCAGCCGCAGTCGGAGCACACCAGCTGGCTCTGGGAGTAGTGCGAGTCTTCCACGAGCTCAGTGGAGTCGCAGTCGGGGCAGCGGCCTCCGCCGGGCATCTCACAACCTGCCCAACACCGCTCAAGCCCTCAGGGACGCAACTAAGCGTCTGCAATAGCAGCCGTACGACAGCAAGATCTACAAGGGGAGACGTCTAAGAGCTGCACCTTTCTCTTCCGGCCTGAGCGACAGCTGGATAGGCGGTTCCGCTACACTTCCGGTCTGTTCCTTGCGAACTCGGGTAGAAACGTGAGCTAGAGAAAAATGGTTCCTTGTTTGAACTGTATCTCCAAGTTTCCCCATTATCTGTAATTGGTTTCAGGTGAACTAGACTGAAGGTTGAATTTGGGTGGATTTTCTACTCACATAGACACGTATAACAGACAAGAAATTGTTGTTGACTCCCTTTAAAAGGAACAATCTCCTTTTAAAGTGCTAGGGGAACCTCAGAGTCTTCATTTCTCTTTGATAATGAATAGTGATTTTGGCCATAGTAGAAACTATAATACGTTTCTAAAAGGGAGAGTTAAGTAATGGGCAGGGATTTGAGTTCTATTTTCCAGAGCTGCTTAGCCAGACAAATTGCTTTCTCTCTTTTCGGTCTGTTTTCTTTATTTGTAAAATGAGAGAACTGAATTAAAATTTTGGAGGGCAAATTCAAATGCTTTTTGTCTCTTGAGCACAAGAGACATTCAAGGAATGTCTAACAGTTTGTGTTGACGAAACCACGAGTGGGGGTTGTGTTTTGTGCCACACAGAAAGCTAATTACTGAGACAACGAGGATTGTCGAGGGAGAAAGGATTTATTTCAGAGGACGCATCAACTGGAAAGAGGAGGCACAGGCTACTTCAAATCCACCTCCTTGATTAGCAGGGTCAAGGGGGGGGGTTATGGAGGTGAAAATGAATTACGAATAAAGGAAGTGAACCCCCACTGCATGTTTGGGGTGGAGTGCAGGGCCCTCAAGTGCAGTGAGGAATCATGTTAGTTCATTTGGAGTGAAAGAATACAGAGTGAGGTTCGCTTTTGGCAACCTAGGGGAGAGGGGTGAGCACATTCAGATGTTTTTAAAACCTTGAGCTTAAAGCTGCTCCAAGATTCTAGCTCCAAAGTTCTTAACTTTGGATAGTATACACCAAAGAATATTGACTAAAAATTTGCCTCTACTGATGCTGTTACAGAAACCAACCTTACAAATTAGAAATGTGCTATGGTGTGAATGTGTCCCCTCAAGTTGTATGTTAGAAACTTAATCCCCAGTGCAATATATTAGGAGGTGTTTTAGGTCATGAGGGCTCCACCCTCATAAATGGATTTATGCTGTTATAACTGAGCTTTGTGGAAGGAGTTTTGCCCCTTTTTCCCCCTCTGCTTTCTGCCATGTGGGCTCACAGTCTTCCTCCCCTCAGGGAAGGAACCACATACACTGAGGCTGGCAGGTTCAAACCCAGCCTGGGCCATCTAAAACAACAATGACAACTGCAACAACAGAAAATAGCTAGGCATTGTGGCAGCTACTTGGGAGGCTGAGGCAAGAGAATCACTTAAGCCCAAGAGTTTAAAGTTGCTGTGAGCCATGACACCACCGCACTCTATCCAGGGCAACAGATTGAGATTCTATCTTTTAAAAAAATAAAAACGAATACATTTTTGTTCTTTATAAATTGCCCATTCTCAAGTATCCTGTTAGTCGAGTGCAAATGGACCAAGACATGTATGGCATATTTGAATATAAATTAAAGTCAACAAAAAGAAGTATTAGTAAATCCTAATGGTGCTCATTAAGAATAAATATTTTATTTAATGTCTGAAAATTTCAGAAGCAATTGTGTCTGAAAAAATAAGAAAGTTGAGTTAAATGACAAGAACCACCAGAAGCCTGTCCCTTAGTAGTCCAAGAAAGCAGAGAGCAGTCAACACGGCAAGTGCTGAAAGTGTATGTAGAGATTCTGTCTCCCAGGCTGACAATGGAGAACTTCTAGCATTTGCAGATTTTGGAAGCTGTTGTTAGCTCAATTACAACCTTGCTTGAGAATTGGGGGTGATATCAGCACTTCCTGCTGAGAACAGAAAACTACTTGGCAGCTTCTGTGCAGAATGAATTGGTGGATTATAAGAGGATATCGCCAGCCCCTTAATAACTAGAGATACTCCCTTAAGGAATAAGACACAAGCCAGGCCCCCCCTCCCCAAGAGACTGCTTTCTGAATTTGAGGACTGCAACTCCTTTTTTGAGAAATCTCATCCGTTCTATGACCACAGGGCTTGATCACACTGGAGAATCCTCCATGCACCACCGCCAAAGCAAGGGACACCACAGTCCCCAGTAGTTCTTCCTCTTAAATTAGGATCATTCTACCTAGTGCTACACCAGAGGGGGCTTTAGCACAATTGCCATCGGTGGGCTTTGGCATTCTAACACTCCTCTTCTCCAGGCTTCCCCAACAGTGTGAGGCATGGGATAAGGATTTATTTCTGTTCTCCAGAAAGTAAATATTAAGACACACTTGCACGTATGCTCACACACTTACACTGCTCAGAGACATCCATCAGTTTTAGAGGGTATATCCCTCTTCCTGCAGAGAAGAAACATGTCCCCAAAAGCAACATGATTAACATTAGCATTCTGCATCATTATATAGACCTGCATCAACTTCTCTCATCCCCAATTTTGTGCAGTTCTTGAATCTAACTGTATTTTTTTTAAAGAAGTGAGCTTTTGTAAAGCTGTCTGCCCACCTTGACAGCCACCTTTTCTGTGTCTGTCAGAAAAATCCTACTTTTCCCAGCATGACTCGTTGTAAAGTGGAAAAGTTGTTTTGTGACCCTGCAGCCAGCAACTGTAAAGGGGTAGGAAGAGGATTGTCTTTTCCTGTCACAAGCATATGATGTACTTACCCTGGAGAGTTGTCCTTAGAAACAAACAGCCTGCAAGGACAGGACCCAGGCCAGAAGATGGCGCACTCTACTAAGATATGTAAGTTTTGGGGTCTGCACTTTCTCAGCGAGAAATCCATTTGTTTGCAAAAGTATTTGATTTGCCTTGTTGCAGGAAATCGGCATCATCCTTGTGCCCTCTCTGCTGCTACAAACTCTTTTAGGTGTCATCGTCATTCATGGTAGTGAGTGTCTTAAACAGATGCGTCCCCCATCCCAGCTGAGTCCCCAGAGAGGGCTTGGTCAGAGCAGAAAGCTCGGGGACGAGGTGAGGAGGCTGGTGGAAAGGCAGGTTGGCTGTGGTCCAGGCGCGTAGTGCTGACTTGGAGGCCAAGAGACTTTCTAGATGGGCGGCTGGCAATGGTGGGGCCACATGTGGCCTTCCTAATCCTTGAGTGCAGCCTTTTCACTGAATCCAAACTTCACAGAACAAATTTCTTCCATGAAGTTCAGATTCAGTCAATAAGCCACATTTGGGGATCTGGAGGGCCACATATGGCCTGGAGGCTGCAGCTTCCCCACCCATTGCCTGGCTGTTCATCCTGGTGTCCTCAGGAGCATAGCTGCAGTGAGGGTCAGCTCTCAGCAAAGAGTTGACCACTTGGGCAGCGCCTGTGGCTCAGAAGGGTAGGGCGCAGGCCCCATGTGCTAGAGGTGGCGGGTTCAAACCCAGCCCCGGCCAAAAAAAAAAAAAAGAGCTGCCCACTCCTGTGAAGCCCTGTCACGAGGCAGGCCTGTCAGAGACACCAAATAGATTGAATTCCTGGGAGGGAGACCCATTTTAACCTAGAGCAAGAAAACTAGTTCAAGCAGGGCAATGCTTGAGGCCATTGACCTGGCCACCAGCCGGGGCTCCTCCCAGCTCAGTTGACTGAAACTCTGTGACGCTGACCCAGTTTCCCTAAGCCCGGAGTATCCTCTCATTGCCACCCAAGGCCTTGGAGCCTTTTGACCAGATTTCCTGTCCACCACCTCACCCTTTTAGCAGACACTCATTTTCCCCATCACTCTCAGATGAGATGGGCACCTCTCAGAGCACAGCCAGGACTGCCCAAATTCCTGTGCCAGTCACCTTTCCTCACTCCTCCCCAGTTCCCCTCCTGTGCTGCTGTTCTGTCCCCACACGGCTCCCCTCTCAGGGGCTGAGGATTAATACAGTCAATTTCTTGAACTCCTAGGAACAAAGGCATCTGATTCCTGTAAGAAGGTGATCACAGGCTCCATTCACTGCACGGACTTAAGAGCATGAATACATGTCCTTACCGGGGGAAGCAGTGTATGTGGCCAACCTAAGAGGGGTTGAGTTGTGTGATTGGCATTTTCCCTCATGCTCCAGTCCTCCACAGTCCCAAGGAAATCACAGAACATATCTCCTTATCCCCCAAAGTGATCCTAAACTAGGTACTGGCAAACTTTTTCTGTAAAAAGCCAGATAGCAAATATTTTGGAATTTGTGAGCAATAGGGACTCTGTTGCAAGTACTCAAGTGCTGCTGTAACGTGAACACAGCCACAGTCGCATAAACAAAGGGACGTGTGTATACACCACTGAAATCTGGATGTCATGAAATGCCATTATTTTGATTTTTTTTTCTAAGCATTAAAAAAAATGTAAAAATCTGCCAAGCACAATGGCTCCCACCTGTAATTCTAGCACTTTGGAAGACACTTTGGGAGGCTGAGGCAGGAGAATCACTTGAGCTCAGGAGTTCAAGACCAGCTTGAGCAAGAGTGACACCCCATCTCTACAAAAAATAGGAAAATTAGCCATGTGTGGTAGTGCACATCTGTGGTCCCAACTACTCGGGAGGCTGAGGCAGGAGGATCACTTGAGCCCAGGAATTGGAGCTTATAGTGAGCTATGATGATGCCACTGCACCCTAGCCAAGGCAGCAGAGTGAGACCGTGTCTCAAAACAAATAAATAAATATCCTTCTTGGCTTGACTGGAGGCAGCTAATAATATGCGGACTGGTGTTCTTGACCTCGGAGTTAGATTAAAAGATCATTTTCCATGGTTAGAGGGAGGGCAGGGTAGCCCCCCAGCAAGTCCTTTCTTAGCTATTTACAGTGTAACCTTGGTCAAACTAAAGTTCTGATGCTTTTGTAAGCTTCAGTTTGCTCATCTACAAAATGGAGATGTTCTCTCCCTTAATGAGAATTATCACAGTCCTCTCAGTGCTTAGCACATAGTAGGAACTCAAGAAGTGGTCCTTCCTTTTGCAATCAAGGTTTAGCCTGAGGTGAGCTGTCAACATGTAAAAGTCAGAGGCAGCTTCTTCTCAACTATGAGAGCAATATCAGTGCCACCAAGGCAACTTTCTAGGACTCAGGATACAGTTTCCATCATAACCAAGAGGCTAAGTGAGGACATCCTCCCTCACTAGATTATTTGGCTTTGGAAAATGCTGGTGTCACAGGGCTCCAGTAAGCCAGATTCCAGTCAGACATGGCAGCTTGTGACTTCCTAGGAGAGGAAGCCTGCAGGGCCCTAAAGATGCCACCCGAAGAGAAGCCCCAGGACGAGGATCCCTTTGTGGAGAGCCCGGGTTCAAGGGCTACGGGCGGCTGCGCTGATGACCATTTGGCCTTGGCTCACAAATGGTAATGACACCCTGTAAGTGACATTTTCTGTGGGTGGACAAAAACAGGGTGCTCCCTCAGCAGGTCATCTCTCGGGTCCAAGGGACCGTGGTCATCTTTGCAGCCACCTCAGCTCTTCTGCAGCGGGGGGTTGTTAGCCAGGGTCGGCTCTCCCTTGGGGTCACTATTTGCTCTTGTTGCAAAATAGAGAGGGGCAGATTCTCTGAGGGCTTGGAGACGTGCTCAGAGCAGGACGGACTTCCTGATCCTGTCTTCCCTTCACAGTGTATCTGTTCATTCCCGGAACAAGTCAAAATAACAGTGGTCCTCTTGGCAGTGGGGAAATTGTGATGTTTCTTTTTCTTCTCCAAGAACATGTTGTGTTCTTTAGAAAAATAACCAGACAGAGCGGACATGGCAGTGGCGGGGAGAACAGCGTCTTCTGCTCCTCCAGAGCAGAACAAAAGGGGCTTCACATCAGCTGATTGAATGGAAGGTCATCTGGCTGGGTGGGCAGGTGCCTGCTAAGCCCCTGGACCTTTGGAGCTTGACTTTGACTCTGAAATCTGGATTTGGGAAAGTTCTTTGCAATTCTTTTGCCTCAGCCTCCCAAGTAGCTGGGACTACAGGCGCCCGCCACGATGCCCAGTTATTTTTTTTGTTGCAGTTGTTATTGTTGTTTAGCAGGCCCAGGCCAGGTTTGAACCCACCACCCTCAGTGCATGTGGCTGGCACCATAACCACTGTGTTACAGGTGCTGAGACAGGGAAAGTTCACTTTTTATGATATTCCTATATCCTATACTTATTTCCCTGTTTTCTTTTTCCCTGATTTTCATGGCAGTTTTTAAAAAGCTTTCTATTGGCAAGGCACAGTGGCTCATGCCTGTCATCCTAGCCATCTGGAAGGCTGAGGCTGGTAAATCCCTTGCACTCAAGTTTGAGACCCACCTGAGCAAGGGCGAAACCCTGTCTCTGCCAAAAAATAGCCAGGTGTTAATAGTGGGCACCTGTAATCTCAGGGAGGCTCCCCAGCTCAACCTGGGAGCTTCAGTGGACACTGCCTACCTCTGTCTCTCCATAACGTGGCTTTTATTTCTTAGAGCAACAGCATCTCTGTTCCAACAGGTCTGGGGCCTTGAAGCATGGACCGCAGACATGCTAGTGAGACAGGCGAACCTTTAGGCTCAGGATGCGGGAGGTGAGCTCCGAAGGAGACTCCTGCACAGCCCAGCACTGTCTGTTCAGACACAGGTCAGCTAATCTGAGTGAACTAAGGACCTGGCTCCCAGATGGGGCAGTGCTGAAGCCAGTCTGGATTCAACTCATGCCCTCCAAGGGAAGACTGTAACTCTTTGGGAACCCCTGGTGGGGAGATCAAGGAAGTACTCTTGTTTATATGCTCAGAGGCACCTGTTGCAAAGGCAAAGCTTGCAGGGAAAGGTGGCTGGCAGCAGAAAGTTCTAACAATGTTTATCTGATAGCTGCTGTTATCCCTCAGGCCAAGAGGAAGGGTCTGTCTTGAGAAGGGATCTGAGATGTCCCATCCTCTGCAGGACAAAGGGCTCTGGGATTCTCGGGCCCAAGGCAAGGTGCCTGCAGCAGGAATCCAAATGAGAGATCCTCACAGGATTAGAAATGCCAGTCACCACCCCCAGCCGAGATGTTTTCCAGGAAAAAAGGAGCAATTTTCATTTATACTAAAGTGCCGACACAAATCTTTGAAAGGTAGTACCATTTTATTTAGTGTTGTAGGAATTTCAGGTTACTTCTTAAAAACAAAAGCAAACAATTCAAATTTCCCAAAGTAACAAAGCAGGAAATAATAATTCTATAATCCAGAAATGCTGGGTGATCCTTCAGTTGGCAGGAGGGGAAGTCATTTTAGCAGCTCACATAGTAATACATAGAAGCCACAGCGTGGAGGCCGGTGAGGACACTGGGAGCTAGGGTCTCCATCTGAAAGAGTATTAGTCATTCTAAAAAAAAGAAAAAAGGTGAATTGGGAGAAAGGACCCAGGGAGGGAAGATGGTGCCTCAGTTACCATTAAAGTAGCTCTACAGTATGTGGCTGAGTGTCACTGGCCTCGCTGCTTTCTGAGGTCCCACCCTTAGCAAAGCTGGAAAGCACAGACCTATGCCTCATTGGTGCAGGCCTGGCACACACCCCCTTGCGACTGAAGGTCCACAGCCCTTCAGCACAGCAAAGGGCGGACTTCCTTCCTCCTCCATTTGGCTGCCTTGATGAAGTTACCACTGGAGTAAAAGAGGGGAGAGGGACCCCAGCCACAGTCCACAGAAGGAGAAGAGACGGAGCAATCGGGCGAACGGTTGGTGTTTTTCCAGGAAGCTGAAGTTCTCTGGTATTTAATCTGATACTTCTCTCAAGTCCTAACTGCTCTTTCTGGAGGCAGCCAGGCAAGGCCAAGGAAGGAACTGCTCCAACCTCTCCAGAGCACAGCCCCTTCCCGGGGCAGTAGGCAGGTGAGCCCTGAAGCTGAGGAAGGCAAATCCCAGCTCCTCTTGTGCAGCTGCTGTGCGCTCTGCCAGACACACACCAGCAGTGAGCTCCACTGTGCCGACCCACCAGCGTGTGCCACAGGCTCAGAGCAACGCCACACAGTTGAGGACTGAAGGACAACAGGTGCTCCCTGAACAACCTCCAGCTGTCTACTTTGTGAGCTGCAGGAATGCAATAAACTGATTGTTTCCAGCGGTGGCAGAAGCCAGACACACCCTTGAAGTCAACTGTCCTTCATGCTCCAGAGTTCCCAAGTGACATTTCAAAGCACAGGGATTCACTCCTCCACCCAGAGTCACTCTCACACACTGGCTGAGTTACATACCCCAGGCAAACTATCCTCATGAATGCTACAGGCATCCCCGCCAGATCTCCAAAGGCAGAGACGCTGTTCAAAGCACACCTGCCCCCAGCGCACTTGGGTTATCACAGTAAAATGCATTTATATTAAGTACAAAACAATGCAGAACAAATACACACATGTACATTTCCAGAATCAAGTGAATACACAGTTTTCTTTATAGGTCTGTAAATAAATTTCATAGCACTACAAAAATACAAGTCGTTTGAGAAGCTTACAGTGGTCCCCAGTATTGTAGGAGAGAATTAAATAAAATAAAATAACTGTAGGTAATTAAAAGCTCATTAGATAAATCAAGTTACAGTATCATCCTTCAGATTAAAGTGCTCCAATATAACCAATGCTGCAGCAAAGAAAATCCTGTAGAGGGATTCTGCTGCCAAATAATCTTGCTTCTTAATTTAACAGAAACATATACAGAAGAAAGTCCCAGTTTAATAACCGCTATCCCCTCCATCCCTGCCCCCACCACGCACCTGTGATATTCTTCCTTAGGAGAGATAACAAGATTTGATAAGATACTATCACAACCAGGAGAAAAAAATAAGCAATTCAGACATGAGGTGACTAACAGTGAATTTACCTGAAGAATCTGAACTGGTCCTTTTAGTTAAGAAAGGGTCAAGTACCCTCGTTTAAAAAGTACGTGTCTATTACTCTGGTTTTAAAAATACAACAAAGCAAAAATTAAGTATCAGCTGGTCGCTCTTCACGACTTTGTAACAAGGAGGTACAATGCCTGTGAGTGTCTTCATGAAGGCAGTGCTGCAGCACTGCTGTTTTCTACTGGCTTTTAAATTCTATTAACTTTGTTAAGCCCCTCGCTACAGCTTCCTCAGTATCCCAGAAGTAACTGGATAGGGACAGGGACAGGAAGTATTCAAAGGACAGACATGTAAACACAGTTCAAGCCCTTTGTGGTCCAAGACTGACTCCCTGTGCCCTTCACAATGAAGGGGCTGGAGAGGAGCTGGTGACCGGTCTCTCCCCCAACAAGTGCTGCCAAGGAATCCAGGGAGCCAGGAGAAGGCACAGGGTAAATGGCCAGAGGAATCCTACGACATCATTCCATACCTGAGGAGAGTGAGTGCTGGGATCACCCAGTCGCCTGTCAAGGCAATCTCCTAATCCCTGTACTCGACTTTTCGTTAACTCCCGTAGAATGAATGGCCTTATGGATCTAAAGAGCATAAGGCTGCCAAGTAGAAGCTGATGTTTAGAAAGGCAGCTTGTTCAAAATCTGAAAGGCACAATAAAGAGGCTTTCCCTGAATGCCTCTGTTCCCGTCAAAAAAACAAGACCCAAATTTGAGAAGCTGGGTAGGTTTACATGGTATCGAAATTTAGCAGCTGTAGCCAAAGCTATACCTGAGCTACTCAAAAGCCAAGAAAATATGTGTAACACAGCACCACCTGCACGGTCCTTTCCTCATTTTACCCTAAGCTTTAACAACCAGAGGATACACATTGAAAAACAATAAGAAAGAAAAAAAAAACCCTGTGTTCAAATATGTTAACAGCTCCTATGCCATCTGAATCTCCAGCTCAGGACCAGCTCTGAAGGCCACATCTTTGGTAGGCATAAAATATTTACAAGCCAGTTAAAGGCACAGTGGCATTTAAACATAAAGCCATGGGAACGTACAGTAAAAGATACATTATAATAATTAACCTAACTTCAACTGGTGGAATTGACTCTGGCCAGATAACAAGTGACGGAGATGGTGACTTGGAGCCTGCTGGCTGGCTGTCGAGCAAACCATCCTTGATCTCAAGAGCAGGTGGAAACAAACTCGCAAAAATGTCTCCGTTTTCTTCCAGCGATTTACATCTTTCCTGCCTTCTTGCCGACCTGAGCCGGGATGCGGAGGATGTTGGGGGTTTCCTCCATGACTCTGACCAGCAGGTTGTCGATATAGTCCTCCAGCTCACGGACCTGGAACTCCTTCTGACTTATTGTCTCCTTCTGTTTGAGGACCAGCTGGATCAGCTCATCATGGGTCAGCTGTGCGTAAGCAAAGGCAGGGTCCGAGGGGTTGTATTTCTTTGGACAGAGAGGAATAGAGGGGGAAACATTATAAAATCAGCATAGAAATCTAACATCTAAGAGAAACACAAAAGAAGAAAATGTTACTCATAATCTGGGTCTCTTAGGAATACATTTTCAATTTAGGGTGAAAACAGGCTACTGACTGGAGTTTGCTGGAAACGGCCAGAGAGTAATATTATGCTGTAAATTTTGTAGGGCACACGTGGCTTTGCTGCATGTTCCTCTTTGGCTTTTGGGGGGGTTTGTTTTATGACCATTAAAAAATGTAAAAACCACACCAGGCCTCTGGACTTGACACTGGGGTTTTCAGAAATGTCATCATGGGCCCAGGTGTGGAGCTCATGCTTATAATCCCAGCACTCAGAGAGGCTAAGGCAGGAATCACTTGAGGCCAGGAGTTTGAGGCAAGCCTGAGCAAAAGTGAGACCCCTATTTTTACTCTCTACTAAAAACAGAAAATCAGCCGGGTGTTGTGGTGGGTGCCTATAGTCCCAGCTACTCTGGAAGCTGAGGCAAGAGGATTTTTTTTTTTTTTTTTGAGGCAGAGTCTCAAGTTGTCACCCTCAGTAGAGTGCTGTGGCATCACAGCTCACAGCAACCTCAAACTCTCGGGCTTAAGTGATTCTCTTACCTCAGCCTCCCCAGTAGCTGGGACTACAGGTGCCTGCCACAATGCCCAGATGTTTTTAGGTAGTTGTCATTGTTGTTTGGCAGGCCCGGGCTGGATTCCAACCTGCCAGCTCCAGTGTATGTGGCTGGTGCCCTAGCCACTGAGCTAAAGGTGCTGAACCACAAAAGGATTTCTTGAGCCCAGGAAGTTGTACTGAGCTATGTTGATGCCACTGCACTCCAGGCTGGGATGACAGAGCAAGACTCTGCCACCAAAAAAAAAAAGATTGTCATCACAGGGCAACACAGTCATTCAAATGAGTGTTCACTCCTCTGGAACACTAGGAGCTTGCACAGTCAAATACCAACACAGAGCTAGAGACAGGCCCCAAGACAGAAAGGGCTGTGGAAAGAACGCCAGCAAGAGGGGGTGGATGAGGGCACTCCTTCCAACGGGCAGGCCGCGCTGACCTCTGACCACCTGCTGCTGCCAAGGCTACACTCAAGGATTTGGTGATCAGCTGATGCAGTGGCCATTCAGAGGCCCCAGTTTAAGTTATTTCATACTTGCAAAATATGCAGAGTCTGAGTCAAGTGCCACCAGGCCCCAGCACACCCTCTGGGTACACAGCAGCCTGTGCCAGAGCCGAGTGCTCCGCTCTTGATGAGAGCAGCTGCCCTGCAGTCACTGTGCTTTACCAGCATTAAGAATCTGGGACAACTGGGACCCAACTGCAAGCCCAGCCCAAGAGGCCTGAACCACAAGGAAACAAGATAAAGATTAACTAGAAAGTAACATGCTGTATAAGTCTCCATTGAGGGAGATAAAAGCGCAACTTTCCCTGAAATCTATGCTCAGGAGATTTATGAATTTATAGAAACAAGGTCAAGAGGATTTTGCCTGCAGAACTGAGACAGTAACAGTTTCACTGTCCACCAAGAACGGTAGGACATTACTTTCTCCAAGCAGCAGCTAAGGAAAGAGCAGAATCAACACTTGCCCTTCCATTAGGGTGACCAGATTTTAACATTTGTAAAGCGGGACAACATGGCCCGGGTGGGGCGGGTGGTGGGGCAGGGCAGGGCCTGACAACAATGCAAACTTTGATAAGCCGTTCTCCATAATCACTTCTCAACAATTATTTGTTATTATTACAGTTTAACATTATAAAATTAACAAAAATAATATAAAACTCATATTCTGGAGAAATAGCCACATGGCAGCCCAAAACCGTATATTCCCTTCCTGTTCTCCTGCCCCTTCGTGTATTCTTTCCAAAAATGGGGACTTTTTTAAAATGCTGCAGGACGCGGGACAAATTGTTCAAAAGCGGGACGTCTGGTCACCCTACCTTCCATGACATGACTAAAGCCCCCGTACAAACCCAGTGACACAAACTGCTTGGATGCAAGTCAGAATTCAGAGAAATCCCTGTCCTCCTGTCCTGGCTAGGGACCAAGCACGATGATCGTTATTCTAGCTTAGACAGACACACTGACCCTTCACTGACAGGTTGTGACCAACACAGACTGCACACAAAAAAAGCCAGCTACTTTTCTAAAAGCTGCTTCTCTCGCTTAATCCTTTTTTTTTTCCCAGAGTATCATTGCCCTGGATAGAGTAACATGGTATTATAGCTCATAGCAATCTAAACTCTTGGGCTTAAGCGATCCTCCTGTCTCAGCCTCCCAAGTAGCTGGGATGATAGGCACCCACCACAACACATGGCTAATTTTTCTATTCTTAGTAGAGACAGGGGTCTCACTGTTGCTCAGGGTGGTCTCAAACTCCAGAGCTCAGATGCCCCACTCACCTCAGCCTCCCAGGGTGCAGGATTACAGGTGTGAGCCACCATGCCCTGCAATCCTCTTTTTTTTTTTTTTTAAGTTGGTGAAGGCGCCTTCACAGGGAGACCCTCTGCACCTCCATTGCTCTGTGACTTCCAAAACAAAATTCAATCAAAACGCTGCATGTCTGGAAAAGAGTCCTGGAGACTGGTGGCACAAGGATGTGAACCTACTCATGCCATGTGATAGCAAGGAAAAGAGTCATCTTTGTAAATAAAGGCCAAGAATATGTCCTCAGGGGACTTTAGATTATACTTTTGTCTTACAAGGGTTTTATTTATTCAAAGATGTCTTATTACATATGATACTCTGCAATCCCCTGCAGTTCTAGAAGTCTGGGGGACAGAAGATGAAGAGGAAGAACAGGCAGGTGGTGGTCCCTAAAGGTGGGGCCAGGCCAGGTAGCACCAGTCTGCCGGGGCCTGATACACTTGCCAGCTCCAGGACTTCAGGAAGAGACTTCCCAGGCTTAGACGCCAGAGAGATAAAATGCACTCCAGCAGCTCGAACAAGCAATAGATCATGGCTTACCCCAGTGACTGGGACAAGCTTTAAAGATGAAGTGGCATCTGAACTAGACTTCGACAATAAATTAAAATTCATTTTCCTCAAAGTAACCAACAACACTTTTTTTTAATTTGTAAGAGGAATATTTGCTTACCATAGAAAAATCTCAAATATAGAAGGGGAAAAAAATCATCACCTATTATCCCAAAATCTAACATTTGGGTTTCTTTCTTGAATTTTTCCTGGATTTCTCTATGTTTTATAACATTAGCATCATACGGAATATGGTTTTACATCTTTTTATTACTGTTTTGTGAACATTTCCCCATCATTACATTTTGACAAAAATAACCTTTTTAAAAGACACTTCAAATAACCTTTTAAAAAGACACTTGTTTTTTTTTTTTAAGACAGAATCTCACTCTGTCACCCAGGCTAGACTACAGCAGTAGCAGCATAGCCCACAGCAACCTCAAACTCCTGGGCTCAAGTGAACCTCCTGCCTTAGCCTCGCAAGTAGCTGGGACTACAGGTGTATGCCACCACACCCAGCCAGTTTTTCTATTTTTTTTTTCTTAAGACACAGTCTTACTCTGTTACCCAGGCTAGAATGCCATGTTGTCAGCCTCGCTCACAGCAACCTCAAACTCCTGGTTTCAAGTGATTCTCCTGCCTCAGCTTCCTGAGTAGCTGGGACTACAGGTGTCCACCATGACGCCCAGCTAATTTTTCTATTTTTGGTACAGAAAGGGTCTCACTCCTTTTCAGACTGGTCTCAAACTCTGAGCTCAAATGATCCTCCTACCTAGGCTTCCCAGAGTATTAGGAACACAGGCATGAGCTACCACTCCCAGCATTTTTCTATTTTTTTTTTTCCTGCTTTCTATTTTCTGTAGAGACAAGGTCTCTTTCTTGCTCAGGCTGGTCTCAAACTACTGGCCTCAAGCTTCAGCTTTCCAGAATGCTAGGATTACAGGTGAGAGCCACTGTACTCTAGGCTGGAGTGACAGAGCAAGACTTTGCCACCAAAAAAAAAAAAAAAAAAGCACCCAGCCAAAATTCTGTTATATCTTAAAACACTCCTCTATTGCTGGGTATTTAGATTTTCAATTTTCAGTTACATACAACATTTTTATTGAAATGTATTAACATAAATCTTTGGCTATATCTCTAAATATTTTCTTACGATAAATGCCTAAAATTGAAAAATGCCTATAATACTTAAGGTACTTCATACAAACTGCCATACAGATGTTCCATTTAGGTTCTGCAATCCAAAGGGGAGAGGAGACACACAGGACTTGGAAATCAGGAGAGCCCAGCTATGTTCCCCTGCAATCATGGTGCTGTGAATGGCAGGGGGCATGGGGGCTGTGGCCTGCAGCCTGCGCTTGGCCTTGGCCCCCCCCACCCCGCAGCCCTGTCCGTGAGGAGTGGGCTTCGTATAGACACTGCTCACAGGGCCTGTGCCATTCTTAGTGCATAAATTTATAGAGAAACCTAAATGGGTAATAATAGAAAATGGTGTTGGGACAGTGGGGATCAGCCATTGTGACAGGAAGCTTTGGGAGATGTTGTTTACTGTCTGTCGTCCACTTGAAGTTGGGACAATTAAATAAGCAAGATGAGTTTGGCGCTTTGGAAAGTGTGAAAGCTGGTAGGGAACTCCATTCTCCTTTATCAGAAGTAACTGAAATTAATGAAGCTCTGGCAGAAAGTCCAGGACTTGTCAACAATCTTGTTATGAAGATGGTTGACTGATCAAGATGACACCGAGTCATCTTCAGAACCAGATGAGCTAGTGAGTGAGACGCATGTGAGAAACTGGTGAAATCTACTGAGCAGTCGAAATGGAGCCCTGATGAAATAACTTAATGCAGCAGAGTTGTCTAAATTAGCGGTGGGTACATGACTTAAAATAGCAACTACTCTCAACGCTGCCAATAGGAAATAGTGCTTAACTTTCCAATGGTTGTAGATAAACAAAATATGCATCCTTTTCATAATACCCTGTGATTTTTAGATTAGGC